GTTTACGTATTGTTTCATGAGAACATGCAATTTCAGGGCCATTTCACGAGTGTGTTGCCTTAGGTTAGACTCAACAAACGTCTTCAAAGCAGCAATAGCAATTACAACATATCGACCCCTGCCATCACAGTTTTTAAGGCTAAAGTCACCTGAACGAAATTTGCCGAACCATCGTTGACGCTTACGAACGTTCAAAACATTTCCATAAACTTCTTTGTGATTACAGATGCGTTATTTCCCTTCTTGTGTTCAAACACCATTACATGCCGAATGTGTGTCTCTTCGTGTGTCATCACTATAAGGGATTAGAATATAATAAACTTTACACATTATATAGGCTACACTAATGTGATTTTTAGGTGGTTCGTTTAACTATTATACGTGATGTATGTTCTTTAGTGAAGGGTGGTTAATGAAAGTGTTTCAAAACACGACATTAATTTCAAGACGACCTATTACAAATGCTAATGATCAGACTGCGAGTCGAGCGCCCAAACCACTTGGCCATGCCGGGCCGATTCACTTTGTTAAAATAAGAACAAAGTCAGTGACATTAACTAGTAATCGGTCAGTATCTAGTAGGTTCGAACCTTACTCACTGGTTATTCTGACCGTTTCTTAATCCCTTTGTTCAGAAAAACTGCAATTATTTAATTATTTATTTTCATTAAAAATTAAATTCCAAAGTAAACTATTTATTTTAACCTATGAAGGTTAAAGGTGCTACGAACTGTTAGTTCAACATCTCCCGCTAAACTCCCTCTTAAAGTTTTTTTCAGCTACTACTGTGTTTTATTGATTTTATAAACAATATATGTTTTAATATGCGCGCTTTTTAATACCTTTATTACGTAATTTATGACGGTCTCACAAAAAAAGGCGAAACAGAATAATCTTTGGAAGACAGGCTAGATTGTTGAAATAAAATAATTATTTAAAAGTTCAAATAAAGAGTTGAACTAAATGTTCTGGTCTTTTCACCCTTAACAATAAAATGATTAAAAAGAACTGGTAGTATAGAGTGCTTAATCTGGTTACTGATAAACATAAAAGATCCTGGAAAAATCTTAGTATTTTGTCAACCGACAAGCGTGGGCGCCACGTTACATATCATTTTATCGCCAATAAACTTAAATTATGTAACCCAGTTTACGTAGTCTGTATAACGCACAGCAGGGATTGCGATTATTTTAAGATAATATATTTTAATTATGACGGGAATAATTTTTGAGAAAGTTATCCTGTTGAAATATAGCATTTAAATAACTGTTGAAAGGTAATATTTAAATAACTGTTTATAACGAATTCGTATTTTTAGTAAATCATATTTTTAATTTCTCTATAAGTTTATAAGTCATCTGTCACTAGCAAAAACAAAACAACAATAAGAAAAATACAACAAAAAACAGTTGAAAGCCCAGTACATGACCTACAAAGAGTTACCGTATGTCAAAATAAGAAATAAAAAAAAAAACACCAATAAATTAAAGCTTTAAGAAAGCAATTTTTTCTCAACGATCTTAAAGTAGAACACACTTATGATAAAGCACGTCGGCTTCAAAATGTACTTGTACTTACGTGAGGTTGGATTACGAGTTCATATTTCTGCATTATATCGGGACCTAAGACTACTGGTAAAAATTCTGAGTAGGTGATGTGTTGCAGCTCCGCCACAACAATATGGCGAGTTTCTTGGAAGATCGTTTCATCCCCCCAGTGAGGGTTGATGTGACTTAGAGCATCAGCAATTCGGTTGTGCTCTCTCATCCAAACAACGTGCATGACAGTTAAAACTACCTGCTCATTGACCCGACCGTCTCCTGAGATAATAAGATGTATGTATGAATACTAGTCCATTAGACCAACAGGAGTATTATTGCATTCACAAATAAATGTTAATAAATTTGTTAACATAATTTCCGGACACCCTGGATATCTACCTTAAAGTTTATGCAAGTTTTTTTTATTATCCAAAAAGTAAAATTAAACTATGGCCATTCTAGATGGGTTACATCCTAAAATAAACACTCCTTTAAAAATTAAAAAAAGTGGTTACAATTGTCCAATTCTAACATGACATGCTGAAGAGTAACTGATTTGTTACAGTCATATCTAAGAACTTTTAGTTTGACTGATTGGGAATTTTCAAATAATTTTGTAGTACATTGTTGACCTATAAGTTCAAACACTCAACTATAAAATTTTAAATTGAGTTTTAAACTTTAATTTATTTTATTAATATTACTCAATACTATATTGCTACCATCAGCATAAAAATGGATTTTTACCGCCAGCAAGGTAAAGAAGTTCCTGTTTCAAATCCGGGGAGTTCCCAAATATGGTAATGCTCCAATATTAAGGTTTCTTTCCCTAATATAAGCTGAAATATTTTACTGGTTGTTAACTATTTTTTAGGGGGGGGGGGTAATTCCCGTTACCAAATTCGAATTACACTAGTATATTTTCTCACACTTTATTGATTATTTCAAAATTAATGTTTTCTAATAGTCAATTAGTTAATAGTTAATTTAGTCAATACCTTAATTAATGACTACTCAGAATACCATCATTGTTACAATAGAACATTTATGTGTGTTTGATGCAGTTCTGATTTAATTATGAACTCTATTCAGTTTTTGTTACTATTACCTAACTAGTCTGTACAGTGGTTTTAAGATTTTAAAAACAGATTGGTTGATTCAATTTTGAACTGAAAAGTTTTTTGGGCGATACGAGAGGCAATTGGCTATCAAACTTAAGTATTTCTGTTGGCAAACAGAACAACTGTACCTATATTTCTCGCGATTGCTTCAAAGTCAGAATAACACTCTTTAAGTAAAACAACGTGAGCTTCAAACCAATGAAAGAAGACTGACTGAAAGTAGCGTCATCAGGTTGTTTGTTCTTCCTGTTACAACTATGATGTTCTTTGTATGGAAAAAACAACTTGACTATTTTAGGTACATCTTACGGAACTATATTGTTAGGATAGTCACACGTTCAATGTTTTTGGTATTTTCAACCTGAACAGTACTGTTTATGGGCTAGACAGTCAGGTAAGATTTGGACCTCAGAATAAACCAAGAATTAACTTTGCATAGGTAAACAACGTAAGAGAGACTAAACCCCCTCTGAAGCTAAACATTATACTATTGCGTATCTGCTTATTTGTTAATTTCCGGTATAAATTCTTTCCGAGAAACTTCAACGATACAAGTCCTTTCTTGATTAACCCAGTTTATTTTTCCTCGGCACAAACTTTTAATACACAGTAATTTCACAGTGAGTACGTACCTCTTCAGTCTAAACTTAACAACTTTTATAACACACGCTATAAATCACAGTGATTCACACACTCTACTTACGGTGCCTACTGTTCGCTTGACTCAATTATCTATCTGCCGCTGACTTTCTTTGACAGGCTTATATGTACTAAAAAAGAGGGCATTCCGATCAGACTAGAGTTGTTGGGCAAATTCATGATCCTTCGAGAAACTCCAGCGCGCATGCTCCCAGCGTCGCGTGACTTCCGCTGTCGTAACAATACGATGCACACGTTTTAAGAT